CCCCATTACAAGTTATAAAAATGAGATGCAGGGGCACCTGGGTGACTTGATTAAGCATCTGACTTCGGCTCAGGTCATGATCTTGTGGTTCATGAGTTGAAGACCCCGTTGGGCTAGCTGCTGTCAGCACAGAGCCCGCTTCAGATCCTCTGTCCCCCCCTCTCTGCCCCTCCGCTGCTTGCAGGCACTCCTTCCCTCTCAAAAACAAATAAACGTTTGACAAAAAATGAGATGCAATTAGCATCTATCCTCAATCTTAGTATCCTAACATTTACTTATTACTTATTACTCTGTTTTCCTGCCTTCTGATTTATAGAGACCCAAATGCTTATCTCCAAAGATGGAAGAGGAAGATTAAAACAATAATTTGCAGTAAGTACTCTTTGAGCTGTTAATTCATTTGTTCAACAGAGTTTATTTAGTGCTTGCTAGATGCCAGGCACCTTAGCAGGTGCTTGGGATACAAAGATAAGCTAGGGTCCCTGCCTTGAAGGGATGCAGTGCTATAGGACAAGCAGACACAGACCTGGATAAGCACATTTGTGAACATGGTAATTAATGCACAGAGTATTATGGGATCACAGAAGAGAGGCACTTCACGTAACCTGGAGAGGAGATCGAGGCAGGCTTCAGGAAGGGTGTAAACTATGTTAATTCAGTTAGCTAAATGAGGTGTGGTAGAGAGCATTCAGGCTTTTTGAATTAGATATCTTTGTAACTTAAGATAACACACCCCGTAACTCTAAAGTAAACTATATGACAATTTCTCGCCAGCGATTCATGTTGAGGCAGGAAGGGGTCTACCATCATGAATAAATGAATATCAAGGTTGCAGGATTAGAGCTAGAAGTTGTGGGGTTTATTTAAAAGTTTCTTTTCTTTTATGCCTTTCCCTCCCTATATAATGGGAAAAACAAACATGAGAAATGTGGAGGTTTTTCTATTCTTCTGACATGGCCTCTGTTATACTTGGGAATGTATAAAGGCATCTTCACTAGAATGGATACAGATTAGTGTTTGAGTCTAGGATTTAAAAAAAAAAGCTTAATTATATTTGCAACCACTGACCTCATTAAATTTAAAATAATAAAGAAAAACTGAAGTTTAACTGTACTTGATGCTTTCTAAGTTATGGGTTTGAAGGGATGCGTGACATATTGAATATGTCAATTGAATATGCATAATTCAAATTCTGTGTGACATAATTTGAAACCTTTGAAAAAAAATTTAATCTTTACAATAACCCTTTGATCCCTTCCATTTTATACTGAGAAAGTTGAAGAAGCAACAAAGAGGTAAAAAAAAACTTGCCTAAAACACTCATTATGGTGACCACTGAGTGTTGTATGTATGTGATGAGTCAGTAAATTCTACTCCTGAAACCAATGTTGTCTTGTATGTTAACTAAGTAGAATTTAAATAAAAGAAAAAAAAAACTGAAGAAAAAAAAAACTAACCTAAGATTACAAAGCTAGTAAGAAGCAGAGCTGGGATTTGAACCCAGGTCTATTTAAACCTAGTGCCTGTTACTCACCGTATCATCCTGCTGAAATAGATATCTGTGTGAGCCCATTGCTCTCCTGTAGTTCTGTGACCATGAACTTAGCCTGGCAGGAGTTTTGGTAAAAGTGTGTGTTTGAGACACATTTTTGTCCCACATTTTGGGACACAGCAAATCCAACATTGCTCCTGAAAAATCCTGATAGTGCTATGTTCAAATGATAGGCAAAATTTGATGTCATGGACGCCACTTAAAACGTGGCCAATTTTTTATCAATATTTTGTAAAATAGTCACTGAGAAGGTAAAGCAGAATTGAGGTAAATATCTACATTTGAATACAGCGCAAAATTTGATTCATAGAGAAAGTAGACAAGAGTAAATATGTGTGAAAATAAAAAATAAAAGTCACCTTTAGATGTTTACTTTTAAATATTGCATGTATGTTATACTAGTTTATATATTTAACGTTATACTCATTTTCACGTGCCTTTGTATGTATTGTCCATTCAACAAGACTGTAATCCCCAAGACCAACCTTTATTAAAAGGTTATCTATAGGTCAGGAAAGGTTATCTAAGCCTATTCTCAAATAGCTTAATAAATGGGAGCAAATGCATTAGGTTATGGATGCTTAAAGTGGATATAAGAAATGAAATTAACATAATAAAATGATTTATTTTAACTTTGATCTATTGCATTTGGGAGGAATTGGCTGGTGGGTTTAAAAGGGTATAAAGATTCCATTAGAGGGTGAAAAAGGGGAAGTCTGTTATAACCGAATAGGGGTGTGGTCTGCTTGGGCTAAGGAGGAATAGATAATAGTTTCATAAAAGACTGATAGATCTGTAGTCTTCAGAACTGGCTATTATAGCTCGGACATTTTCTTTACAGACATAATAAGTATGTCTCTTAATACCGGCCAGCTTGGTGAGTTAGAGAAACCACAGCCTGTGGGTTTGGGCATATGCACTCTCTGCCTGCATCTAATCCTCCGGGTAACAATACACCTACAGCTGCTGTAATCCTAGAGCAGTTACATGGATGCACTAAGTGGTGTGATGGGAGGGAAAGATAGCATCACAAGGATTCGTTTGATTATAACAGTAATCCACACCAAGTCAAATAAAATAGCCAAACAGTTAAAAATGTGGTCTCTAATGAATTTGCTAATTCTAGCAGGCCCTCACCAACATTTCCTGCTAGAGTACCCCGTATCAAAACGAAGTAGCTGTGCTTTAATTACACGGAATAATTATTTGATTTCCAGGAAGTTAAGACAGTGCTTTGTATTTAAATAAAAAGTTCTAGACATGCTGTGAAACTCGATCAAACCAAGAAAAAGAGTGAAACTGAATGCCTGTTCAGGGAGTCAAGATTTCAGCCGCTCGGCAAGCTTGACGTTATGGCTTGTGAGCCCAGAAAGGGTATTTTAAAGCCGGCTGACTGGATCATGTCACTTTGTTAGAGGAAAAGCCCTGCCTTTCCAGAGATCTAGAGTGTAATGCAGCCATATGCTGTTGAGGGGCTCGAATTTTGGCCGCCTTCACCCCTCTGCACTAGCAGATACCCCAGTTTTCAGGGGACGTGATCTCATAGTGTCGCCCTCACTTTTGAAGCTCTGTTAAAATTCTAGGGCCTCTTATCTCAGTGGCTTTGGGAGTGAGTTTGGGGTAAGAAGGGGGGGGGAGGCCTGTGAGTGTCTCTTTTGCCTGAGGAGTTGGGGACACTTGTGGAAAAGTCAGGCCCTTTTCGCTCCGGCCGCCGCTCCGGTGTGGGGCTGGCTTGGGTTAGACACATGCACACATACACCATAGAGCTCTGCTTTCCCGTAGCAGCTGCTGCCTCTGCCTCTGCCTCTCCCGCCTCAGCCTCTTTGCCCGGCATACACACACATTCAGATTTGCGCGCTGTTTCAATCCTTGATGACGTGTCCCCGGAGACAGCCAATAGCAAACGGGCTCTGGTCAGGACAATGGGAGGTATCGGGCCAATGAGCGAGCCCCGTGAGTTGGCGGTAGCCAATAGGAGCCGCGCTGGCTGGAGAGTAATGTTACAGAGCGGAGAGAGTGAGGAGGCTGCGTCTGGCTCCCGCTCTCACAGCCATTGCAGTACATTGAGCTCCATAGAGACAGCGCCGGGGCAAGTGAGAGCCAGACGGGCACTGGGCGACTCTGTGCCTCGCTGAGGGTGAGTCTGGGGCAGCGCCGCGGCGGGGAGAACGCCTCCGGCAGCTCTCCACCCCGCGCGGTGGCCGGATCCCCGCGGCCGGGAGCCGGCGGGTCAGGATCCACACAAAGGCAAATGAGGGGGGATCGTGGGGGGAACTGCGCACGGAGCGAGCCTCTTCTCGGGCGCCGGGAGCCCTGCCCCGCGCCGGAACCCCGGCCCACGGGCTGCCTGAGGCGCTGCGAACCCCGAGCCCCGCGAGTTTCCACCCCCGGCGGCGTCCGCGCTGACAGGCGCAAAAAAAATTTTTTTTAATTGAAAATAAATTTTTTAACGTGTTTTCGGCCCCTGGGCCGAATGTTCGGGCGGTCGGCGTGCGCGGGGGGCGGCGGGCGGCGGGGCCGGCGGCGGGCGGGCAGGCGGCGGCGCTTCCACGGGCTGCATTGGCCGCCGCAGAGAGCTGGGCGCCGGCGGCGAGCGCGGGCGGGCGGACGGGCGGGCGCTGCGGGCGAGGCGGCGCGGTGGGCCGGGGGCGGCGGCGCGGGGCCGGGCCCGCCGGCCTGTGCCCGGGCGCGGCGGCGGCGGCGGCTCGGCGGCGGGGGGAGCGGCGCCGCTGCGCTCGCTGGAACATGGCTGACTCGGCCCGGCGCTGCTGGCTGGAGAGAAAACAAGGCGGGCGGGAGCGGGCGGGGGAGCTGGGCGCAGCAGTTCCGAGGCAACTTTTTTTTTTCCTCTCTTTCCAGCCCCGCGTTCTCCGTGCGGGGGCGGCCGGGGCGCGCGGGCCCGCGCCGAGGGCGACGGGGAGCTGCGGGCCGGTGGGCGCCTCCCGGGGCGGCCCCCACCCCCGCGGCCCAGGAGGGGGGAGGGTCCGGGCCCGCGCGCCCCCCCCCCCCCCCCCCCCCCCCCCGCTGTAATGGCCGAGTGTGTGCGCCAGAGCGCGGCGCGCACCCCGCCCGCCGGCGCTCACACTCAGACACTCACATACATACACACACACACACACACACACACACACACACAAAGGGAAGGAGCCATATTCTCGCTCGCGCTCGCCCTCGCGGCGGCGGCGGCGCAGGCGGGGAAGACGCGCAGCGGCCATTCCGTGCGCGCCGGCCCCGGCGGCCGCGGGCGGAGCCAGCCCCCATTTCGAGCGGGGCTTCTCCCTCCGCCGAGCCTGACAAAATGGGGGAGGCCTGCGGGGCCTGCGCCTGCGGGCGGGCGCACGTGGCGGCACCGGCGCGGGCGGGTCGGGCCCGGAGGCCCGGCCGCGGCCCCGCGTTTCCGCGGTCGCCCCGCCGCCACCGAAGTTCTGGGGTTGGGGGCCGAGTGGCGGGAAGGCGTGCGGGGCGCGTCTCGCGCGGCGCCCCGACTTTCACAGATTAAAAAAAAAAAAACCTCCCCTGGTTGGGGGGTGGGCAGGCAGAGCAACGAGCAGGAGTGGCTTTTGTCCCTCATCCTTGTTTACTCGAAGAAACTTCAGACCGGACGTGTTTAGTCAGAACTGAAATACATCTCGGGGCCAAACCGATAGGAAACGAGGCTGCCTCTCGGTGGCAGCCGCACAAATACCGCCGCCACCCCCCAGCCTGGGTCCCAGCGCCAGAGCTTTCTGCCCCTCCCTCCTCCCGGCAAAGTTTTGTGCAGAGAGTATTTTTACAGCCTTCCTTGGGAAAACTTCAGATAGACCGTGATTTAGGCCCGTGATTTGGAGAAGCCTGCCCACTGGGGCTCTTCCCGATTTTATTCCCGACGTGGTGCCGATCTACGAATCGGCCCCACTAGTTTTGTGGTCTTCGGGTTTGTGGATTACAAATGGTTTTGTACATTTAAAAAGTTTTTAAAATGTCCGGTTAGGTGCTCATTCGGAGCAGATCCACGCTGATGAGTAACGGGTACTGTAGGAGGGTACCCCTGTGTCTGCACTTTCTCAGATCTTCCTGAAGGACCGTTTTTTATTTTCTGTTTTCTTTTTGCTTGGCCTAGCCTCTTCTAGGAATCAGCTATCACTGCCATTTTCTTGTTCGGTATATTATGAGAGGTTCGTGCCACTACTGTGTTAAATAACCAACTTTGGTGTTCATTCACTCCCCACAAAGTTCAAGTGCGTGTAGAATCCCATAATTTCATGGAAAACCCCAACCATTGGTTTTTCTCTTTTTAGAAAATAATCAAACATGGGCAAAGGAGATCCTAAGAAGCCGAGAGGCAAAATGTCATCATATGCATTCTTCGTCCAAACTTGCCGAGAGGAACACAAGAAGAAGCACCCGGATGCTTCAGTTAACTTCTCAGAGTTTTCTAAGAAGTGCTCAGAGAGGTGGAAGGTAAGGGGACTTGAAACAACATGGGGGAGTTTTTAAAAACTTAAATCCAAATCCAGATTTACTAAAAAGCCTAGGGGCCGTTTGCAGAATGTGTCTTGGGATGTTAGAACAGGCTGCTGAATAATGGCATAAGATGCTGGTTTTAGTTATTTTAATACGTTTGTGACAGTTTGGTAAGATTTTGGTTACTGATTGCAGTTTGCAAATAATTCTTTTTGTAGACCATGTCTGCTAAAGAGAAAGGAAAGTTTGAAGACATGGCAAAAGCGGACAAGGCTCGTTATGAAAGAGAAATGAAAACTTATATCCCCCCTAAAGGGGAAACAAAAAAGAAGTTCAAGGATCCCAATGCACCCAAGAGGCCTCCGTAAGTATCCTGCCTACTTCGAGGAGGATGTTGCAATAGAATCAGAAATATAGCAAGCCACCTGGTGGGTTTGGAGTGTAGAATCAAAGTTTCATAGCTGATAAGTGGCTTATATTCATATATTTGAATATTGTAAGCAGAATTCCTTTTGGATGGGAGTTTGAGCCAGAGCATTTGAATTAGACATTGGCCTCCTTCATTTCATCTATCTCCTAAATGTAACTTTCTTTTGTTTCTTGAGAAATACCATCTGTCCAAAAGACTTAATTTGCAGAATTGTTTTTGGAGCTTTTGCATTTATTAATAGTACATGCTCATTTGGTAGCATCATAAGTTAAACAGCTGTAAATGAAGGTTTGATTGTGAAGGATATTTAGCATGTTTTAATCTTCGCACCCGTCCAGTGCCTGAGAGAAATTAGCAGCAGCTTTTATGTAACAGGACAGTACACATTTCATAGTAAACTTAAAACTAAATTTCTTTTTTTAGTTCGGCCTTTTTCTTGTTTTGTTCCGAGTATCGCCCAAAAATCAAAGGAGAGCACCCTGGCCTGTCCATCGGGGATGTTGCAAAGAAGCTGGGAGAGATGTGGAATAACACCGCTGCTGACGACAAGCAGCCTTACGAAAAGAAAGCTGCGAAGCTGAAGGAAAAATACGAAAAGGTAAGAAGTGTGGGTTTGTTCGTTGTAATGATGAAGGTATGCCAGATGTTAGCTTATACTTGATACCCCGGCCCAGTGTCCTAGCTTCTTGTGGATTTCTAAGAATTTGGAGTGTAATGCAGTTCTCAGGTTAACAGCTCCTTTCAAAGTGTGTAGAAGTCCAAAAAAGTTGAGTTTTTATTTTTGATCTGGGTACAACAGCCATACGCTTAAGCTGGTTTTGTTATTCTCTGATGTCTCCAAATTTATGACGATAGTGGTAGTCCCTTTTAGTCAAATGGTTATTTTAAATGGTTAGACACAAAAATAATCTGGGCAAGATAATAAAAATCAGATCGTTCATAAATGTATCTTGAAATATTTGTGTTCCCTTCCTTCAGTAACAGAAATCCCAACTGTATTAATTTCAAAAAAGCTATAATGTTGATCTGTGTAATAAGTTGATAAAGAAAAGGATATCTCTCCTATACTTTGAATAGGAATACTAAGTTAAATTTTAGCTTGTTTAGTTGTCTGGAAAAATGTTGATTTCTAGAGGTTTCTTAATTGCATGCTTACTGGCAAATTTACCTTTTTTTTTTTTTAAAGAATTTTCTACTATGAATTAGGGTCTGATATAAACCTGTAGAATGCTGTTTTGCATTCAGAAGGTGGCAGTGTCTACCCTTTAATCAGTCTCTACATTCTAGTTTTAATAAACGGAAGTTAGGATGTGGTACCTAATTGTACTTCAGTGAGGCAGAACATCGCACATGTTAGACCTTGTTATTTCATGAGTTATGGATTATTAATTGCAATTCTCCATAAGTGTTTTTATATGTATTCCTCAATCCTAGTCCTTTGTGGAGCTGGAGTAAGTGCAGATATGTGGAATTTTCGTATACTTGGGATCTTGACTTTCCCTAAGTTACTTTTCCTTCTCCCCTTGCTTAACTGTTTGGTCTTTCCTTCCACTTTTTCCTGACTTTACTTTGGAAGGATATTGCTGCATACCGAGCTAAAGGAAAGCCTGATGCAGCAAAAAAGGGAGTCGTCAAGGCTGAAAAAAGCAAGAAAAAGAAGGAAGAGGAGGAGGATGAGGAAGATGAAGAGGAGGAAGAGGAGGAAGATGATGATGATGAATAAGTTGGTTCTAGCGCAGTTTTTTTTTCTTGTCTATAAAGCATTTAACCCCCCTGTACACAACTCACTCCTTTTAAAGAAAAAAATTGAAATGTAAGGCTGTGTAAGATTTGTTTTTAAACTGTACAGTGTCTTTTTTTGTATAGTTAACACACTACCGAATGTGTCTTTAGATAGCCCTGTCCTGGTGGTATTTTCAATAGCCACTAACCTTGCCTGGTACAGTGTGGGGGTTGTAAATTGGCATGGAAATTTAAAGCAGGTTCTTGTCGGTGCACAGCACAAATTAGTTATATATGGGGTTGGTAGTTTTTTCATCTTCAGTTGTCTCTGATGCAGCTTATACGAAATAATTGTTGTTCTGTTAACTGAATACCACTCTGTAATTGCAAAAAAAAAAAAGTTGCAGCTGTTTTGTTGACATTCTGAATGCTTCTAAGTAAATACAATTTTTTTTATTAGTATTGTTGTCCTTTTCATAGGTCTGAAATTTTTCTTCTTGAGGGGAAGCTAGTCTTTTGCTTTTGCCCATTTTGGATCACATGGATTATTACAGTGTTTATCTTTTCATATAGTTCGCTGATAAAAAGGCTTTGTCTACACCCTGCATACTCATGATGAGGGTAATAAAAGTTGAGTTGAGATCGTTTTCATCCATAACTGAAAAACTCCAGTCTTGATCAGTTGATAGCAGATTTCACTTAGCCCAGTCACATTGATAAAGTGAAGAGTAACCAGTCTATTCACAGCATGGGATTAGTAGAATCAAACATTTTGAAAGTCTGTCCTTGAAGGACTAAGAGAAAAGTTATGTTCTAATCTTTACATAAGGACTCTACATTCTTTAACTCCCATTACAAAGTAATGGGAGTTATATTTGCAGTTCCCACATTAAAGAAGACCTGAGAATGTATCCCCAAAAGCGTGAGCTTAAAATACAAGACTGCCATATTAAATTTGTTGACATTAGTCCCAGCAAAGGCTCTGGAAAGAAAAAAAGTGCTGGCTGTAAATGTCTTCTCCTGTTTATCTAAATATGGATTTCTTAGGAAACTTGACTCTCCCTTAAAGATATTTTTCACTAATTGGGCCAACTTCTAAACTGTATACCACATTTAAAATCTGGTATATTTTCCTATATAGTAGTTTGCTCCTTTATATAAATCAAATAGGCCTGAGGGGAAGAAGACACTTAAAACTTTGTATTTCAGTAGGAGTTATCGGATTTGAATTTGATTTTTCTTTACAAAATCCAAACTCATTCATTAGAGTCATGTTTATCTACTTAGCAGTTTAGGGAACAATTTGGCAATTTTGTGGTTTTTGAGATTATCGTTATCTTAAAGTGCCAGTGTTTTAAAAAAGCGTTCTTGTAATTTTACACGCTTTTGTGATGGAGTGCTGTTTTGTTATATAATTTTGACTTGGATTCTTTCCATTTGCATTTGTTTATGTAATTTCAGGAGGAATACTGAACATCTGAGTCCTGGATGATACTAATAAACTAATAATTGCAGAGGTTTTAAATATTAGTTAAATGGCTTTCACTTAAAATCTTAAGATTTTGTTATATACATATTTTAATCTTTCCAATAGTATCTCTTAGCAACACCATTTAAACAAGTATAAGGTCTGCAAAGTTTTTCCCTTTAAAAATACTTTGTCTATACTTACAAATAGGTTAATGATCAAAAGTTGCCAAACATCGGGAGTGTTCTCAGGATGCTATATATATATATATATATATATATATATATATACGTACCTATATATATACCAGCCAATATACATACCTATACATATATATATAGCATCCTGAGAACACTCCCGATGTTTGGCAACTTTTGATCATTAAATACCTATAATATATACCTATATATATATTTATAAGTATGTATATATATAAATGCAGAAAAATTTATTTTCAGAATGTTGGGTTAAACAAGATAGTAGTTTTTCAAAGCAAGGCACCTGAAGCAGTTTAAAGACAATAGTGATTATAAATCTAAATTTACTAATTTTCTAAGTCAAGTGGAAGGCCTCAATTGTGTAAAACTATTGAATTCTTAGTCAAGGGGAGTAAGTCAGTATCCCAATTTACATGCACTCTGCTATAGCTGTGGCACCACCACTGTCAACATCTGTTGCTAGTAAGTGATCCAATTAAAAGGGAATTCTGCCTGAAGGAAACTTGTAACTTAGTGGGTGTGTCACTACAAGTACCTGTTTTTTGTTGAGAATGGGAACAAGTTTTTTGGTGTGTGAACTGGCTTCAGATCTTGACAGGAAAAAGACAGACTCTTCCATCTGGAAGCTAATAAATAAATTTCCTGTCTAGTGTTTGAGCAGCCTCCCTGGGGCTTGAGATTTTAGATAATTTAGTGTAAAGCCTTTGTATAATTGGGAGGATTTGTTTTCAAGTTTATAAGAACTGTTTTAATGTTTAGAAATAGTTACAGCACTATGGGCATAAAGGTTTTCTTAATAAAGTCAGTATAAATTTTAATATGAAAGTTGGAGCACTTACAACAGAATATGGATCAAAACCTCAGTCCCAGTCCCTCACTTTCCTGTGTAAAGGCGGCTCTGTGGCAGGGAGGTTGCTGTAACTCCCGCTAGTCTTCTGTCAAGGTGTGGACATTTGCCATATTTGTTAATTTTCTTAGAGTAAAATCTGAAAAAGGAAATATTTTTTGTGTCCTATGAGCCACAGGTCTGAAAAGTATCACTTTTCAGAAAAGTATCACCCAAAGTACTTGGGTGACAGTGGCCATTTTACAAATACTTCCCTCACTGCCTAGCAAATTGTAAGTATCGCTGACACGTTAGGGTAGCGACTAGCTATACTGAAAACTACACTACACTGGAGAGACAGTAGTGATTCTTTGAGAAACGCGGCCAACTCCCATGCTTGGCATCACGTAATCTATGATGAAAGTTCAGATATAGGTCAGTGTGGTACAACACGCCTTCTGGAAGGCCCTGAAATACCTCTCTTTCAGTACCAGCCAGGCACTTTTTGCATATGATGGTCTCACTAAAAAAATGAATAAATCAAATATGGCCTATAGGTTGGAATTCCTGTTGCTCAGGTGTGGACCATTGGCTAGTCATTAGGTGTATTATGTATGTATGTAGTAAGGGATTGTGGGGAGTTAAAGCTTTTTTCATATTTGTGGTTTAAATTTGTTTTTAAATGACTTGAAATGCCTTTTAAAACTACATAAAAGCCAGAAGATGGTTTGGATCCCTAGGCAGTAAAAGATGCAGGCTGGTTCACGGTCTTGGCCTCTTCCAATAGCAAAGACATGAACAGTGCTACCGCCATAATTTGGGAAATTCCCTGGGTCTGAGCCAAGTTGCTCCCTGAAGTTAAAAGGCAAAGATACTGCTCTCTTCTAGGAATGCTGCTGTTTAACCATGTGCCACGGTGTAGAAATACCACACAACACCAGACGACACAAGCCTAACTTAGGGTGCCACACCAGCATGGTGGATGCCCATATAGCAGTCTAGGATAGATCATATCGACAGGGAGGAAGTGTGATCACTTACGCCTTTGGGCATGTCCATGGGTTTGGGCCTTCTGTGGAAATTGAACTTACTGATCACCCACTGAAAAAGAGGAAGTACGAATAAAGATCTGGGACAAGATGAGGGATGGCATGAGGAAGGTAGACAAGGGTCGAGTGTGGGGAGACAGCTAGTAATGGTCAGAAGAGCGGTGAAGGGGGATTAAAGAGATCCTTGTAAGTTTTTATGATGTACTTCTCTTTTCCTCTTTAGTCACACAATTCAGACATATAAGTGATGTCACGCTGTCCCATAATGTATTTGATCATTACTGATAGTCATCCACACTGCCTGATTTTTGCTGTTTCTAACAATACTGCACCCAGCATCTGTGTACATTCCTCTTCAGCACAGGTAGGTCTTTAAACTCCCCAAAGTAGAATTGCTGACTCTAAGGATATGTGTGTTTAAAATTTTTGGCAGACCAGAGCCTCTGGGTGGTTTGATCAGTTGGACATCTGACTCTTGATTTTGACTCAGGTAATGATATCCTGGTTCATGGGTTTGAGCCCCACGTCGGGCTTGGCGCCGACAGCTTGGGATTCTCTTCTCTCCCTCAGTCTCTGCCCTTCCCCTGCTCAGGCTCTCAAAACAAACTTTAAAAAAAATTTTTTTTAGCAGATACTGACAAATTGCCCTCCAAAAGGCTGTATTTACCATGAAACATTTTAATATTTTTTTTAATGTTTATTTTTGAGAGAGAGACAGAGTGTGAGCAGGGGAGGGACAGAGAGAGAGGGAGACACAGAATCTGAAACAAGCTCCAGGCTCTAAGCTGTCAGCATAGAGCCCGACATGGGGCTCAAACTCAAACTGCGAGGTCATGACCTGAGCTGAAGTTGGATGCCTAACTAACCCACCCAGGCACCCCAGCATTTTAATAATTTTTATGATAAATCAAGATTTTTACTGGTTATTCTTTGGGTCCCTGAAATACTATCCATCTTTTAAAGGTGAGAAATTCAAATACTGAAATATTGCCATTTGTTTAGAGCCACCCAAACAGAAGGCAGAATCAGAACTGAAAGATTGAGAGCTGGCTATTGATTATTAAACTACTGAACAAAGTATTTCTCTTCAACGTTACTGCAATAAGGAAATATTTAAGTTCTCTACTATGTAAAAGTGAGAAACTTTCCATTTTGGCACCCTTTACCTTAACTGGAAATATCTGATAGTTTTATCTGAGGAGGGCTATTTTTTTGCTTCCTCCCCCTTTTCTTTTTTTAAGCAGAGATTATGTACCCATCGTTATAGAAGCTACAATCTGCAGTTTGGGGAAGTGTCTGGCTACAAATTGTAGTCAGGGATCCTGTGGGCCAGATTCTGGGCATTAGAAGGATGACCTGTTATTTGGAAAAGTGGAATGGATATTGAGAATCTGCCTTAAATGGAATAAACTTGACCACTGCTTCACCTCCTGGCTGGAGAGGGTACTTTAGGAAGAAGGTCATACTCTAAATGCATCTATAAATGCAATTGTGTTAAGAGGCTTTAAAGTGGAATTAAACTCAGTTCTTTAAAGTTACAGAGAATCTCTCATTACTGGCTTTACCATATTTTTGTTCATTGGGTTTCAGAGATCATCTTATAAAGTGTTCTGAACATAACCAGGTAAGAAAATAAAAGTCCCAAAACAAAATAACTTTTGTGTGTGAGCAAATACTGCTAAAGGGAGAGAAAAGCAGGAAGCTTAATTACAACACCCTCAGGTGCCCAGAAGAGTTGAGATGAAAGGCTATCAGAGCAAGGACCTCCAGTCCCCTTCCTAGCCCGCAACCCGAACTTCACGGAGGCTCCGGCCTTGCTCTGCCACCTGAAGTCAGCCTTCCCGGGACTCAGGCACAGTGCAGGGCCAGGCACACTCTGGCCGAGAAGCAGGGAGGCCAACCAGAGAGCTCTATCTGAAGGAGAAACAAGAGTGGCCTTCGCACAACAGCAGGCAGGCTCATAGCACATGAGCCGTAAAAGGCTCCAAGGGGCTCCTGCAGTCCCTGCGTGTTTTGCAGAGCAGTGGCAGAAAGGCCCACCGAGATGCAGAGGCTGGCTAAAGGACCAAAGGCAGCATCCAAACAACCTAGGCGTGCCAAGTTCACAGTTGGTGCAAAAATAAGTGTGAGTTCTTTCCTCTTCCTTGTAAGGACCATAGGAAGGAGCTTGAAGGCTTCCTCCCTACTCCTTTCATGCCTTGATATGCCAGCACGTTCTGGTCACTGTGATTCCTCTCAGGACTTCCTCCTTCTATTTACTCAGAACACTTCCAGGGAAAACAAAAATCCCACCAATCAGAGGAAGTTCTAAGCCACCTGATTCTAAAGGGCTGAGAAGCATCAGAAAACTGTGTGCTGCTGATGTGTCCTTAAGAAGTGCAGCATGAGGGGTGCCTGGGTGGCTCAGTGGGTTGAGTGTCCCTGCCTTGGACTCAGGCCACAATCTCACGGTACGTGGGTTCCAGTCCCACATGGGACTCGCTGACTGTCAGCACTGAGCCCACCTGGGATCCTCTGTCCTCCTCGCTCTCTGCCCCTCCCCCACTGCACTTGCTCTCTCTCAAAAATAAATTAAAAAAATTGCAGCATGAACTTACACAAATAGAGGGACGGAATGCAATACACTACACACTACAATAACTTCTGAAAAACCCTTACTCTTGTAATGAATGAAATTTGTATTCATTAAAAGACAACAAATAAATTAAAATCTACAATATGACTAGTCAGACTGAATATACTGTGTGCCCTTCTAACTTTTTATATATAACATGGTGTAGAGCTAATTAACTTAATATACATAATTATAATTTTAAAAATTGAGGTGAGATTCACATAACATAAAATTAAACATTTTAAGGGACACCTGGGTGGCTCAGTAGGTTAAGTGTCTGACTTCAGCTCAGGTCATGATCTCATGGTTTGTGGGTTTGAGCCCCGCATTGGGCTCTGTGCTGACAGCTC